AAGTCCTCAATACTTTCTTAAAATGGTTTTTAAATTGATACTTAATTCATATGCCATAGGACTCACTATTTTAAAGTACAAAATTCAGCAGGTTCAGCATACTTACAAGCTTAAGTAGCCATCACCACCAGTTAATTTCAGAACACTAAATGGAAAGTCCATACCTACCAGCTGACACTGCCAATTCTCCTTTGTCCCCATCCCCTGCCAACCGCTAATCTACTTCTGACTACTGATTTGTCTATTTTGGACATTTCATATAAATGGGATCTTTTGTGTCTGGTTTATTTCATTTACCCTAATGTCTTTAAAGTTTAGCCATATTATAACATACACTAGGACCTTATTCCTTTTTATGGATGGATAATAGTCCATTGTACCTATATGGCCCATTTTGTTTATCCATTCATTAGCTGATAGACTTTTATGTGGTATCCACTGTGGATTATTATGAATAATGCTGCTATGAACATTTGTGCCCAAGTTTTTGTATGAATATATGTTTTTAGTTCTCTTGGTTAAGTCCCTAGGAATAGAATTGCTGGGTCATATGTTTAACTCTATGTTACTCTATTTTTAACTTTTTGAGAAACTTGTCAAAGTGTTTTCCACAGCAGCTGCTCCATTTTACATTTGAACCACCAATGTGCAAGCATTCCGATTTCTCCACATCCCTGCCAACATTTATTTTCAGTGTTCTTGATTCCAGCCATCCTTGTGAGTAGGATTCAGTAATTTTTAAGAGTGTTAAAGATTCTGAGACTAAAATGTTTGAGCGTTGTTTTTCTAACAAATAGCCTTAAAAACATTTAAGAAAACATTAAAAAAAAAAAAAAAAAACCCAAAAAACCGAGCTCATAGATACAGGGGACATATTGGTGGTTGCCAGAGGTAGGGGTGTTGAACAGGCAAAATGGGTGAAGATAATGAAAAGGTGCAAATGTCCAATTATAAAACAAATATGTCTTGGGCATATAATGTACAGCCTGGTGAATATAGTTAATAATATTGTGTTGTATATTTAAAAGTTGCTGAAAGTAGATATCAAAAGTTCTTATCACAGATGAAGAAATTTGCAACTGTGTGCTGATGGGTATTAACTAGACATACTGTGGTGAACATTTTGCAATAAACACTTGTATTGCATCATTATGTTGTACACCTGAAACTAATATAATGCAAAAAGAATTAAACATAATAACCAACAATAACCCCATAAAGTTGTGCAATACCAGGGTAATCAAGTTTGCATGGGACTGATCCAATTTCCACCTTTGTATTATACCAGCACAATTATTCCTAGTGTCTCCTTTAACTCTCAACATGCCCTGTTTAGATGACAAATTATATAAATGCCTTAGTTGTGAATCTATGTTCAGATGTCCCCAATTGATGTAAATATTCTTTTTATAATTCATTTATTGAAAACAAGACCCAACATTGCATTTGATTGAGGGAGGTGTCTTCAAAAGCTTTTAATCTAAGTCAGTTCTTCATTTCTTTCATGCTAGTTATTTATTGATGAAACTGGGTAATTTGTGGGATTTCCCACATCCTTACCTTGGCTGATTATACTTTCTTGATATTTAATTTGTTTCTTTGTCCTCATATTTCTTCCCAATTTGGTAATTAGAACTAGATGTTTGATTAGATTTAGGTTCAAATTTGTGCAAAAATATCTCATAGATGGTGTGTACTTCCTATTGCATTGCATTAGGAGGCCCATGGTATCTGGTTGTCTCACTTTTTGTGAAGTTAAGATAAATGAGCGGGTTCAGGTTTTGTTATCTCAATACAGCCAGCATAAAGTTTCCATCAACATTCAACCCCATAATTTTAACTTTTACTGAAGACCTTGGTTTCCAACAATATTGATATTTACTTGCTATTTTATATACATATATGTAAAGTGTACATAATGTATAAAATACCATCTAAATAACAATACTAGCATTATTACTAACAAATATTATATCTACACGTAGTTTGGTCTGTTTGCTATCCTTTTTTGTTCTTGGATTTTGTCACCATAAGTATATATAGTGAAAATAATGAGTTTTAAAGTCAGCTTTTTATTGTTCTGTGCAGTTATAGGAGTAACTTCATGAATACAGGGTGGAAAAAGGTAAGGTTACAGTTGTGAGTCTGAAAAACACAGACTTTATTCTTATATTCTTACTTATTATTGTATTATTTTCCATACAAACAACTGTAAACCTTTGTTTGCCCCACCCTGTGCTTGGATTAATGGCTTTTTTTTTCTTTTTGAAAATGCTTTGTTAGTTTCTCTTTAAAAATGATGTAAAACATGCACATGATTCCAAAGTCAAACTATAAAACACAATATATAAAGTCTAGCTTCCACTCCCATTTCTTTCACCTTGTTCTCTTAGGTGTAACCATTTTTACGAGTTTGTAATTTATACGTTCCTTGCTTCTTTAAAATGTAAGCAAATGCACACATTGTCTAAGGAGAAAAGCAACTTATACATGGTCTCAGCCTTGCTTTTTCACTTCATTTGTACTAGAGTCCCATGGCCTTCCACAGAGACGGTCTTCACTCCTTTGTACAGCTGCACAGAACTGCATTGTATGGAGGTAGGCGGTCCGGTTCACCCAGTCCCCTGTGGATGGACATGTGGGGGTTAACAAGCATTTATTGCATTATTTAAGTTGTGCCAGGCACCGAGGGTAAGGGCAGGGTCTCTGGCCGCAGGAAACTGGGAGTGTAGGGGGAGACCTCTGCAATACAAGTACTTTCCTCACAGGGAGTGAGATCTTGGCTCCACTGAGCACAAGGGACCCCTGGCACAGCGAAGACAGGCTCCCACACAGGACGGAGACAGTAACTGTCTGTGGACTGCCATCTTGCTGGCACACGGTCCTGAGTATGGGAGAACCCCCGTGGGAGGAAACGATTTTTATCTCTGAAATTGCTTCGAAAGTCATGAGTGCCACCAATTGGTCAGAAGAGGCACCACCAAATGAAAGAGGCCGAGAAGGGCCCTCGCCACAAGAATCCTCCGAAAAAGAGATGTAACTTAATACAGAAGCTGTGGCTTAACGACAAGCGCTAACATCTGTACATAACTTAACCCTGAACAGAGGGCTCTAAGCAGCTTGCCTATTTATTTAACTCCTTTATTTCTCATAACAAGATTAAGTAGGGACTAAATAATAACTTTAAAAAAAAGAAGGGGGACATCTGTGTTACTTTCAACAATCAAGAAAAAATGCTAAAAAAAAAAAACAATCAATGCCAAAAACAAATAAATAAAATAAATAAAGAAGTAGTGACTGTTATTTACCCGCATTTTACAGTTAAAGAAATTAAGGCGCAGAGAGGTTAGTGAACTTTTGCCCAAGGTCACACAGTGAGAAAGAGCGGAAGCAAGGAAGGAAACATTGTATACTTGCAAGCAGGACCCTCTCCAAGGGTCCTGCAGATCTCTCCCTGGGGAGAAGAATTTACTCTTGACATCTCCCTGTCCCCTGTCCCCCCCCCCCCCGCTCCCCACAGGAAAATCCTTTGGGGGCTTTCTATGCACTTTTGGGGGCTGGGAGGCTGGAGGAATCCCAAAGCCAGGAGGCGACCTGCTGGGTGCACCGCCGAGGCTGAGCCGGCCTGCCCCCCTCTACCCCCAAGAGCCTGCTCTCCGACCCCTCCGGGTGTCCGACGCCCGTCTCCCTGCGCTCGTGCCCAGGCCTTGGCACCAATGACAAGCGGCTTCTAGCCCGTGTACCCCGGGCTCCTCCTATACAAATACATTAAGTCCCGTACGAACTTGCAAAGTTGTTCAGGTCCTGGACCGGCTTTCTGCTCTCAGGGAACCCGTAGCAGGGGAGAGAAGCGCTGCGGACGCAGTGTGAGCGGCTGGGACTGAAAGGGGGCGCTCGGGGTGGTGACTCCTTTTCCCATTCAAAACCGGTTTGAGCCCAGCATTAGGCGCAGCAGCTGGCCATCTCCCACCCAGCGCCGCCTGCAGCCCGCACCCAGCCCCGCAGCTCCATAGCCCCACGCACCCATCCGCGGCGAGGGCGCCCCCTCCTGGACCAAACGTGTAACTGCAACCAGGAAGTCACAGCCCAACCTAAGGATTTCTTTGGGTGGCACTCGGACCAAAGCAAAGAGCAGTAAGAAAAACTGTTTTAGAGACAACGATGCATTAGGAGGATCCTTAAAGTTCACGTCAGACGGGTCATGTGCCAAAGGCGTAACAAGGTTAATGGGCGGCACACCTCACACAGCCGCGAGAACACCCAATCATCACGCTTATGAACTCCGAAAGGATCGGTCTATGCCTTTTCGTTAAGGATTCTCAGACACAGCCCACTGAGTTTTCAGAAAGGGTGACCTACCTAGTACGCATGTATTCAGTGTAAACACAAAAGACCACGTATATTTTTAAAACATAGCCGATATCCCGTGATTTTTTTCCTTTTGTTTCTACCTTAAGAAGTGAAAACAGAAATAATATGAGCGGGCGGATCACTCTCTATGCAAATTTTCCCCAATAGCGCCACCCTTTAGAAAAACGCGACTCTTTGTTACTTTACGACAACATGTCGTGAAACAACGGAGGATTGACGTATTATACATTGGCGGAAGCTAGCCTTGCGCTTTACGGCAACGACTTCCGGTAGGTTCGCATCCCGGCTCATGAGGTACCGGTAGGGCTGCAGGTGTCGGCAAACGTTTTCGTGTTAAGCTTCAGGGTTTGTTTTTGTTTGTTTGTTTGTTTTTGAGTCTTCGGGAAGGAGAGAGTCATTTCTCCACTTCACTTTGGGAGGCTGAGATTCTGTCACTGCCCCCGCGTCTTTTCCTTTACGCACACTTGACTCTTTGGTTAGACTCGCCCTCCAAGATGTCTCGTCGTTTGCTTTGGTTTTAGTTCTGTTCTTTGGGAGAATCCCAGCTTCCGGTGCCTCCTGAGCGGATCCCCTCTCGCCTTCATCTTCGTCCTCCCGGGAGCTCGGCCCCTCGCTTGCCGGGGTCAGGAATGGAGCGTGATGGCTCTCCGGAATCTCCACCGCGGGAGGCGTCTTCCTTGCCCGGAGAGTGCCCTTCTTCTGACCTCGGACAGGCCTTGTCCCAGGTTCTGCACCATCTTACCGGCCAGGAGTCCCGACGGGGCAAAGCCAGAAACGCAGCTCTGCAAGACCTCGGTGCTCTCCTAGAAGCCACGGAGTGTGATCGGCTATTTGACGGGAGTGACGCCCCGCTGGGCGGAGTGCCCGGGGTGCTGGGGAAGGTGGCAGCCGCCCTGGAGAAGTTTGCAGCCCCACCCAAGGAGGAGGAAGGGAGAGGGGATGGTTACGCTGCAGTGGCCGAGAGGGCGACAGCAGTTGGGCTGCTGTTCATGAAGCTGCTGAGGAAAGTGGAGTCTGCCAAGGAGCCCCAGGTTTGCCCTGCCTGGAAGAGAGGCCTGCGCCCCCTGGCAGCACCCATCTACGTGTTTGCCATCACACACAGTGTGCAGCAGCCATGGACCAGGCCACGATCTCGGGACGTGGCCAGAGAGGTGCTCGCCTTACTGCTTCACGTTGCCGAGTGTGGTTCGGTGGCAGGATTCCTCCACGGAGAAAACGAAGAGGAGAAAGGGAGATTTGCTGAGATCATGGGGCTTCTGCAGCCCGATTTGAATAAGTAAGTACCCCTGCAGGAAGGGCCAGCGAATTGAACTTAAGGCTGTTCTAGAATGATAGAGCTCGAAGGCTGTTAGGGCAGATCTCTTAAGGCCCAGAAAGGTTGGAACTCTAAAAATGACATAAGTAGCTAGTGGTAAATTTGACATTAGCCTACAAGTCTTCAGACTCTATTTTCTAGTGTTATTGTGGGTCCTCATGACGACTGCCCTGGAAATGGGAAATTCTTTCTCATTTATTTGGATTTAACTCTCTGAAATGAGATGGAGATGGGAGCTTGGAGAGGATCTAAACTTGTAGTTTGAACTTAGGGATCTTGAAAGTCATCACAAGTAGATAGGGAGGGATAGTTATTAGATATGGAAACAGTATTTGGGATGAAAAATATAAGCTTTAGATTGCTATTAGATAAAGTTTTTTTTTTTTTAAGTCTATTCTGTCTTTTAAATCGCTTGTTTTTGTTTCTATACACACACGTATACATACATATACATAAATATATGTGTGTGTGTGTGTGTGTGTGTGTGTGTGTGTATTGTTGATTTTTATAGAGAGGAAGGGAGAGGGATAGAGAATTGTAAACAATGAGAGAGAAACCTCCATCAGCTGCCTCCTGCATGCCCCCAACTGGGAATCGGGCCTGCAACCAAGGTACATGCCCATGACTGGAATCAAGCCTGGGATCCTTCAGTCCACGGCCAATGCTCTGTCCATTGAGCCAAATGGGTTAGGGCTAGATAAAGTATTATGTTGTGAGCTTCCACTTGCTACTTAGTGTGTTAGTATTTGTGATTAGTGGACATTAGTTCCTGTCCAAGATGACCATGGAGATATTTGATTTAGCCCAAAATCCTTGGAATGTGGTCTTGTCCAAAACGTCCGTAAGACATTTGGTCCATGATAGCCCATCTTCCTACCCCAGGTGTAATGTGACCAGCAAGGCTATCTAGTGGAGAAGGTTATTATTGGCAATATAGGTACAACACAATTATTGGTCCAATAAAATGTAATAGTATTTTATGTATTAATCCTGCAAACCAGGAGTATAAATAAACGTGGGTTCTTTGGACCCAGGCACACTTCCTTTTTTTTTTTTTTTAATATATTTTTTATTGATTTCGGAGAAGAAGGGAGATGGAGAGAGAGATAGAAACACCAATGATGAGAGATAATCATTGATCGGCTGCCTCCTGCATGCCCCACACCAGGGATCGATCCCGCAACTCAGGCATGTGCCCTGACCGGGAATCGAACCCTGACCTTCTGGTTCATGGGTCAATGCTCAGCCACTGAGCCACGCTGGCCGGGCCAGGCACTTTCCTAAGTGTGGACATTGTTGACAGGACCAAATGTCAGGGGCTGTTTGGCATGGACCAAAGGTGCTCGTGGATGTTTGGACCAAATGTGCTGCAAAGGTACCTGTAGCACTGTACTAATAGAAAACAATGTGTGCATAGCTGTCATTTTACTAGGAACTTGGAATTAAAAGGCTTAGTTTTGAGGCTGGTGGTGCTTCCTTTTATTGCTTCTGTAGAACCAGGTCAAATAATCTCTTTGATCCTCAGTTTCATTATTTATAACATAAAAGTAATATTGCCTGACACGTTATTTTAAAGATTAAGTAATGTGTGTAAACTCATTAGTTGCTGTTCAGATTTACAAATTGCTGATCAAATATTGATTAATAATAATAATAATAATAAGATGACGACTCTGAAGACATCTTATCTCTTCCTCCTTCTCAAGTTTGTATATCCTCACTGTCTCCATTTCTATCATCGTCACAGATTCTTTACATTGCTGTGCTTATGACTGGCTTCTTCTCATTGGATAAGCTTTAGATTCTGAGCTCTGGGTAAATGTTAAATGCATGTAGTGTAAATTCTGTAAGTTATTTTGATTTAAATCTTAAAATGTATGTTATTAACATCAGGTGTTGCCTTATGTGGGATGTATTTTTTTCAATGACAAGAACATACTCTGTTTAGCTTAATTTTCTTTGCTAGTCAACACCATGTCACTGTACTTAATTTGGTTTCACATTCCCACTTAGGGAATCCTGGAAGAATAACCCCGCCACCAAACATGTTTTCTCCTGGACTCTGCAACAGGTCACTAGGCCCTGGCTGAACCAACATCTGGAAAGGATACTTCCCCCATCATTGCTCATCTCAGATGACTATCAAACTGAGAACAAAGTCCTGGGTGTCCATTGCCTCCATCACATTGTGCTTAATGTGGTAAGCAACCCCCGCTCTGATGGGACAGACTGAGTCATATGGCGGTTCCCCATCCATGATGGCACTAGTTTATTTTGTCTACTAGTATGTTTGCATCTTTTATTAACTAGCTTCTATTATTGCCGTTATGTGACTAAATTCGCTTATTTATATTTTTTCTCTTTATATTAATTCCATCTGCCAACCTATTAGAGGTTATGTCTAATAGGTAATATATACACTGAGTGGCCAGATTATTATGATCTGACACTCAGTGTATATCCAACATAATAAAAGGCTAATATGCAAATTTCCCCCTCAACCAGGAGTTTGGCCAGCAGGCAGGCCGGCCAACTGACCATTGTCCTCCCCCTGACCAGGCTGGCCGGACCCCACCCATGCACGAATTCATGCACCAGGCCTCTAATACTCTCTCTCTCTCTCTCTCTCTCTCTCTCTCACACACACTCACACACACATACACACACGCACGCACGCACGCACGCACACACAGAGTAGCCAGATTATTATGCCTTCTGAGATCATAATAATCTGGCCACTCAGTGCATAAGAAACATTGTGCACATAAAACATAGGCCACTTTCAAACTGAAAGATTTGAGTAACAGTTGACGTTCAAGGATCAAAAACATCAAACTGACAGAGGTTATATCCAAATGTTTCTATACACACACACATATACATACATACATATATATATTGTTGATTTTTATAGAGAGGAAGGGAGAGGGATAGAGAATTGTAAACAATGAGAGAGAAACCTCCATCAGCTGCCTCCTGCCTGCCCCCAACTGGGAATCGGGAATGTGCAAGATATTACTTGAGGAAGTTTGTATATTTCTTTCTTAACTTTGTGTCATAGAGCTTTTAAAATATACACAGAAGTAGAGAGAGTGGTATAATAGATCACATATACCCATAATTCAGCTTTTAAAATTATTAACATTTGCCTGCCTTGCTAACTTTTCTTTTAATTGGGTGATTTGTCTGATTGCAGCCAGCTGCTGATTTGCTCCAGTATAACAGGGCTCAGGTCCTATACCATGCCCTTTTCAACCATCTGTACACCCCGGAGCACCACCTAATTCAGGTAATAGTAAGATTTGTTGGTAAATCTTAAAAAAAAAAAAAAAAAAAAAAAAAAAAGAGGAGTTTTGACAGGGAGGAGGAGGAGGAGAATGTGAGTCTGAATTCTCAAATTTGAGTGGGAAGTGGCATTATGTGAATAAGAATAATTGAGAGACATTTTCTTGGAGAGTGAGCACTAATTGCCAAGCTGAAAGTATGGAGGTAGCAGTGACTGGTGAAAATATCTCCAAACCAAGCCACCATTCACATTCTTTTTTTTTTTTTTTTTTTTTAAATATATTTTATTGATTTTGTACGGAGAGGAAGGGAGAGAGATAGAGAGTTATTATAGAAACATCGATGAGAGAGAATCATCTATCAGCTGCCTCTTGCACACCCCCTACTGGGAATATGCCAGTATGCAACCAAGGTACATGCCCTTGACCAGAATCAAACCCTGGACCCTTCAGTCCCCAAGCCGACGCTCTATCCATTGAGCCAAACCAGTTTCAGCCCATCCACATTCTTGAGCAGCCACAGAAAACCAGTGTTTTGTCTTCATCTGGGTCAATTACAATCACTTAGGGGCAAGTTTATGTTTGAAAAAGTTCTGTTTTTATTACGTAATTTAAGTGTCTTTTGTGCTGACTTATTACTAACACACACACACTTGAAATCCCTTGTATGTTGGGTGTGTTAGTGTCATTTATTCTTTCATCCGATAGACATTGAATATCTCTGTGTGCCAGTAACCTTTGTAGGTTCCAGGAGTGAATGAATCAGACAGGATTTCTTAAAGCCAAAGACCTTTGGGAAATGTTTATGTGAATATATGAATGTTTATATATATGCCTACAGTATAAAGTGATACATCTATTAAAAGAGGTTTGTATAAAGTGCAGTGGGTGTCCAGCAGTAGGCAACTAACCAGGGTTGATGGTGGTTTTAGGAGGATTCCAAAGAAGGTGGTATTTGCTTATGAAGGATAAATAGGAGCTTTGACGGGGAGGAGGAGAATATTCTCAGGACAGAAGAAACAAGTTATAAACAAGTTACATAAAATTAGGATTAGAAATAACCATGTTTCTTTTAAAAAAATATGTTTTATTGATTTTTAGAGAGAGAGGAAGGGGGAGAGAGAGAGATATAGAAGCAGCAATGACAGGAAATATCAGCGATCCACTGCCTCCTGCATGCCCCCTACTGGGGATTGAGTCTGCAACCCAGGCATGTACCTTGACTGGGAATTGAACTGGTGACCTTTTGGTTCCCGGGTGGACATTGAAACGCTGAGTCACACAGACTAGCACCATGTCTCTTATTTTATGCCCACACACACTTTGTCACCTTTCTTTTTTAAATATTATTGTAGGCATTGAAAACCCAGGTACTTAACAGATAGAAAGATTAGAACTCTTGAGATGGTGTTGAAGAGGGAAAAAACACTACCAGAAAACTTCAAGAAAACCAAAGAGCCCAGAGAGCTAGAAGGGATTGCCTACACACTGAAACTTCAGATAGAGTGGTCCAATTGGATACAAATGAGGACCATTTTAGATTCTATTTAGGAGCAGTTTTGTTGTAAGTATACATGTATCACTTAGACTTAGTAATACAGTGACAATAGACTCAGACTCCTAAAATTTGGGTTAAAGTAAGTCTCAGCTCTGCCTTCCCATTTTATAGTTTAACAAAGAACAGTCCTGAGGAGAAAGTATTAACTTATTTGGGACTGTCAGAGATAATGTAAAATAAAATAAAAAAGATTTTAAAAAATAAAGTAATATACACTTAATGTATTCTAACTAGTATGCTTTAGAATTTTATGACATTACATTAATAGATTATTAACGTTGTTAGAGACCCAGAGAGTGTTGTGAATGCAGATAGATGGCTACAGCTCCTGTCCATACTCTGTTAGGTTGTGCTGCTGTGTCTGCTGGACCTGTTCCCAGTCCTGGAGAAGGGCCTGCACTGGAAGGGAGGTGCAGCTCGACCCACCACACACTGTGATGAGGTCCTGCAGCTGATCCTGACCCACATGGAGCCAGAGCACCGCATCCTCTTACGCAGGACCTACGCCAGAAGCCTCCCGGCTTTTGTGGAGAGGTGAGTGCTCGGGCTGCTGGTTGGCTGAGCTCCTTGACTTCATTCCTCTACTGTCACATTTTCTCCTTTGTTTGTAGGTTGGGGATTCTGACCGTCCGGCACTTGAAGAGGCTAGAGCGAGTCATCCTTGGTTATCTGGAGGTTTATGATGGGCCAGAGGAGGAGGCTAGATTGAAGATATTGGAAACCCTGAAACTTCTCATGCAGTATACTTGGCCCAGGTATAACAGCCAGCAGACATGTGTGGTGAGGGGGTGAAACTCAGATTTTCTCGTCAGAACTTGCCCAGATGTACCTGCAGTGCCGAGTGTTAAGGATATGCCACTTATACCTCTAATACCTATTGAACTGAGAAAATGTCATTTAAAAGATAAACTGTACCCATTGTTGCTTCAGGTGTACCTCTCTAGATTAATAAGGCACGTTCAATTTAAAAGGCCATGCAGAAGTGCTTCAAAAGGACAGGCCTAGCTTTGTTCATCCTAATGTTTTTTTACATCCAGTTGAGAACAGAGCACTTGATAGCACAATTCTGAACAGTGATCAGGAGAATACCAGGTTAGAATCCGATTGCTTAGAAAGCACTGCAACTCTGGCTTAAAGTAGGTATTGGGAACAGTGAACTGGTATCCAAACATGTTAAGTCAACAAAAGGCTTTCTTTTACTTTATTTCTCACCTAAGGATATGGTTTTATTGATTTGAGAGAGAGAGAGAAACATCAATGTGAGAGAGAAACATGGCTCAGTTGCCTCCTGTATGGGTCCGGACTGAGGATTGAACCCAAAATATAGGTGTGTGCCTGACTGGAAATCAAACCCATAACTCTTTTTTTTTTAATAAATATATGTTATTGTTTTTTTACAGAGAGGAAGGAAAGGGATAGAGAGCTAGAAACATCGATGAGAGAGAAACATCGACCAGCTGCCTCCTGCACACCCCCCACAGGGGATGTGCCTGCAACCAATGCACATTCCCTTGACCAACGCTCTATCCACTGAGCCAAACCGGTCTCGTCGAACTCATAACTTTTTTGGTGTATGGGACAACACTCCAACTGAGCCAGGGCAACAAAAGGCTTTCTTGCATGGAATAAAGTTTAATCTAGAATCCAGTGTCTTAACTAAATACATATCTATTCTAAACCATGTTATCTCATCTATAATAAAAGCATAATGCTAATTAGACTGGACGTCCTTCTGGACGAAGCCAGGGCTGCGAGGGAAGCCTGGGTCCCGGGTGCCAGAGGGTAGCTGATGCTGGCAGCCGGAGGAAGGAAGGCCTATTCTTGCGGGAATTTTGTGCATCGGGCCTCTGGTTTCTTTATAATGTACTCAAGTGTTTCCCTAAGTCACATTTGTAACCAGGATGCATTTGTTTACTCGTTATAAGCTCCAGGAGGATGAAGACCACTTGGTATACTGAGCGTACCAGAGTTCACTCAATACCTGGTATTAGGTGCACAAATATTTAAAGAATACAACAGATGGAAAAATGAAACTGAATCATATTAATACTGTCAGGCCTTTAAAGAGCAGAGACCAAGATTCAAAGTAGAGAGATTGGCGACCAAACGTAAGGGTTAGAAGGTGAATGTGATGTGGAGGGGTGGGGCTTGGGAAACAGCAGATTATATATGGAATGATGACAGGTAGAAGACTAAGCAATATACAGATTGTAGGAAAACATGTAATTTTTTAGACTAAGGCAGAGGATGCAAACTTCTCCATCATATTTCTGTCCAGAAATATAGTTTATTATGCATATTTTCACACTATATTTAAATTACTTTCCAGCTGCCATTAGAGCTTTTTAGTTTTTATTGTGGTGAAAAACATACACACAAACATTTTTTAAAAAAATTATATTTTTAAAAATATATTTTATTGATTTTTTTACAGAAAATCAGCTGCCTCCTGCACACCCCTTACTGGAGATGTGCCCACAACCAATGTACATGCCCTTGACTGGAATCGAACCTGGGACCTTAGGGTCCGCAGGCTGATATTGTCCACTGAGCCAAACCGGTTTCAGCAACATTTACTATTTTAAAATGTACAGTTCATTAGGCACATTTACAATTTTGTGCAACCATCACCATTTTCTTAGAAAGGCTAATAAGCATAACTGAACATGGTTGGGTTTAACTGATTGATAGAAAATTCTGATTGACACTTAAGTCCCAGAAGCCCAGCGATTACCTCTTTTTAACTTTCCAGCCCAAGACTGCATAAAAGTTAAAGGACAATGGGCTGTTTCCTGATCTCTGGCCAAAAGTGTAGGACCCTGGTAAAGGAAAATCCCAGTTCTCCCTTCTCAGGAGGGGCTGTTGCCCGAGTGGAGCCAGGTTTCCCCAGGGGAACAAGGTGTTCTCAGGCAGGCCAGTGAGTGTGGGCAGTGCTCAGAAAGCAATGGGCCTGAAGAAATTGAGTCTGGTCTCTGGTTCTGCTTCCAACTCTGTCATTTGACTTTAGTTCCTTCATTTGTGAAGTCTCCAGTTTAACATCCTGATTTAGAGTGTGAATAGTTTTTCTTGATTCCAGAGTTTCCTGTAGACTTGTGGTCTTATTGAAGGCTCTCTTGAAACTGATATGTGATGTAGCAAGAGATTCAAGCCTTACACCTGAGCCTGTAAAGAGTGCTTTGTTAGAGGAGGCCACAGACTGCCTGCTTCTCCTGGACTGCTGCTCTCAAGGACAAGTGAAGGTAAGGGACAGTATGCCACGTGGTCTCAGTTAGGCCTCATTATCCTTAAGTCCTATTTGCTATTTATGTGTCTGACCAAGTCTGTAAATGAATGTGGAGGGTTCAGGTGTTCACTTCTGGAGCCCTCTAACCTCCTATAGATTTTGAGCAAAGGTATTCAGGACAGATCAGATAAAAGGCAGAAGGATTAGAAAATATCTCTGGAGTCTTTTTTCCTGTAACATTTCTGGAGAGCCAGAACTGAGCACTGCCTAAGCCGTGTTCCTTCTATCCTAATTTCTTCCTTGGTTTCATTGTCCCTAGCATTAATGAACTTATTACCCTTGCTCCCCACAAGAAAAAAGAAAATATCTCTGGGTCTTGGACAGAAAATGGGTGAAAGGATTATGATAAAGTGTTTGTAAATTCTGTTCCAGTTAAGAAAAAATAGGCCCAGCCAAGTGTGGCTCAGCAGATGAGCATCAACCCATGGGTTGTGGGCTCAATCCTCTCAGTAGGGGGCAGCAGGAGGCAGCCAATCAATGATTCTCTTTCCCTCCCCCTTCTTCTCTGAAATCAATAAAAATATACTAAAAAACAAACAAAAACAGGTGAAATAATGTGCGATAAGCTACCAAGGAGTAATATAGGTGGGTATTTTAGAAAGGTTTCCATACTGTGTTTTTCCATACTCTTACTTATTCACATGTGAATTCTTTCCTTGGTCTCATATTCTACAAAAGATAACTTCTCAAAGCCATCTATCTATATAAGAGCATGTGACTGGCTGATAGCTATAAGACACACTGACCACCAGGGGGCAGACACTCAAAGTAGGAGTGGAAATCACAGGCATGGAAACATGGAACAGACTGATGAATCTCAGAGGGAAGGTGGTGGAGGATGGGAAGAGATTAGCTAAGATCTTATATGCATACTAGAGGCCCAGTACACTGATTCATGCACCAGTGGGGTCCCTCGACCTGGCCTGAGGGGATCGGACCGAAACTGGCTCTCCAACATCCCCCAAGGGTTCCTGGATTGCAAGACACAACCCGAAACCAGAGAGGGACCTGATTTCTCACGGGGCTGTGTGATTCCACCTCCAGCCTTGGGTTGTTATTGCTGGGTCACTGTCAGCCCCGAGTCTGGTTTACTGCACACTCACACTTGCATTCCACACCCTGTATGAGGGCAACTTTGCAGAGTGCCTCTCACACTCCAGGACCCCTCAGGGGATGTTGGAGAGCCGGTTTCAGCCTGATCCCCACAGGCCAGGCCGAGGGACCACACTCATTCTGCACATGCCCTTTGAGCCACGGTGCTACCCCAGGTGCGGCTGGTCATAGGACTGCTCTAGGGCATGTCCAGCCCATCTCTCAGTCCCACCCCACTGGCTACCTTCTAATTAATTTCCTTTGTGTGCACAAATCCATGTACCAGGTCACTACTAGCATATAATAGCTGTGTGTTTGTTTATATATATATTTAATAAACTATTGCATCATTTCTTATCCCATTAGAAGTCTTCATTGGAAAAGGTGTAAGACAGCATGAAAAGAAATCCATATCCTAAAAATATTTAGAGATAGCATAGTTTGTTGTCTTATTATTTATTCAAATTAAACTTCATCTTTGCTCTTTAACTTCAGGAAGTTTTCAAGTCCTAGATCCAGTCTAACTTATTTCAGCTGGTATTAAGCAGCTTCTTCAGGAGCCATTTCTAAGCATGCCAACAATTCTTATTTACACTTGTTCTGTGAACTGTCCCCCTAGTGTCATCTATTCTTTCCTTCTTTGAGTATGAAACCAAGAAAGAAGAACCAAGATAAAAGGACAAAAATCACCAAAATAAATAAAAGCTTGTTTGGTTTCATGTTTCAGGGTCTCCTGGCTAAAATTCCCCAAAGCTGCGAAGACAGCAAGGTCGTGGAGTGTGTCAGAAAGGTGCAGCAGGCTTCTGAAAGTGCTCCCTACAGTGGAACTTAAAAACTTTTCCTAAAGAGAAGAGGCTTTTCTTGTTGTATAAATGGAATTATTTAAAGAAAAAGGTATTTTATTATTGGACAATTTAATTTAGATATTTTTCCTTCTTGTCTTTTCTAATAGAAATAGAGAAAGAACAAGAAAATAAAACTGAAGTCTGGACATTTCTGATTAAAGTTGAGGGGGGACACCTAAGGTGGCTACCATTTGTAAATATTTACAATAATAAATTCATCCGTCAAGCTATCACCTCAACACATGCCAAAGCTATAAAAATACTGTTTACAACTTTAAGGATTTCCTCCATCCCCCAGATTTCTTGCTCTACAAAGTAGCATAAATACAAAAAAAAAAAAAACACAAATATTGTGTTACATACAAAATAAAGAGTAAAAACTGGAGGTCTGTATGTGATGAGGGCACGATAAAGTTCAAAATGTTAGTCCTGTTACAAATGTCTGAACGTAGTTCACGTGGTTTTGGCCTTGGCCACAGGCTCTGTCTCCTGCTCATACTCAATCTCCACATAGGCTCGTTTTCTCCGCAGAGGTCCTTTCAAGGGTGTTTTGCCTTTCTGTTTGGCGTTAGGGGCCTTTTCTTCTTCCTCACTGGAGGATTTCTCTCCCTCGTCTTCATCACTGCTGGCACCCAGTTTGTCCATATCCTAACATGGGGAGGGAAAGAAATTAAGAAAAGGGAAGACTCTAGTAGACTCATTCCCCAAACTCCATTTCCTCTCAATTTAGAAGAAACTAGAGGATTTATCTGCCTTTGTATGTTTGGGAACCCTTCTTCCTGTCACCCACAAATCTCACCTCAAAGTCACTTATGTCACTCTCATCCACATCATCAGCTTCCACAAACTCTCTTTTTCCCACATCCTAAAATAAAACACAATTATTAGGTCAAAATACATGATGAAAATTCAACTTAGACAACTAGTTTTATAGTCTTTGATAAGTAAATGCATAAGTAACAATCAGAATCAGAATTTACTTGCTAGGCAACCCAAGTCTACTTATTCCCAAGTTTAATAACTTCTGAAATCGGTATTTAAGATTTACAAACATTCAACCAAGTTATTAATTTCAAACAATAAAAAACTAGTTTAGTAATAGGCAAAGTATGTCTCTGTACCTATGTGAGTGAGTACACTGTGTGGTTAAACATCTTGCTAAATCTGCCCTTCTCCTAAACATAATATGTTAATAATAAGATTAAATCCTTGTAAATTTCAGTAGGTTCCTTAATGTATTCTTACAGCTGATGAAGGTTCTTTGTCTTTCGCAGGAAAAATGTTAGAAAGCCCATCAGTAAGACTAAAATTGTCAATGCATATTTGGTTAGCTGAACATGGAGAACACAGCAGCCACTGCTGAATCAGAATTAACCTCATAATAGAAAAATAAGACCATTTCATTACTTTTGGTTAAGAGACTGACAATGACATTCTCTCTCTCAAAACAGAGCTAGTCCTGTGGATTACTGCTGGACAAAACAAAAATATATCAAGGCTTACTTCCTCATCATCTTCATCTTCTTTTTCCTCAGCATCTGAAGAGTCACTCCCTGCCTCCTGCTGTTCCAGGGCCTTGTCGAAGGCATGGATGGGGAAGTTGTAGATGTCGCCGTACTGGAGAACACACAGATTGGCTTTAACTATATTTGAATCTCACACTTACAGTCCACTGTCCAACAAGCATATTTTTTCTTCAGTGAAATGAGAATATTTAATTTGATGAGTAATATTTCTATCTTGTTTTCAAGTCTAGAGCTGGCAGTGTCTTTAAAAAGCTCATTTTAACATTTAAATAATCAGTGGTTAATTCCAAACTGGTAACTTCTATGAAGGATAAAAGAAAAATCACTTAAAATGTAGTAGTCTATAGAACACAGGGAGTAGGACAAATGTAAAATTTTGCTGATAAAGAGGAATAAAGAAAACATTTTTTTTATTCATACTGTCTCTATAAATGACATTAAGTCTTAAAAAGAGAATAAAAGTTCATTTTAAAGAACCATCAAAACACCTGATGTGCTTGCACCAATGAACTTAAATGAAGCCAGGACCCGTATGTTATTTGTTCCAGGAATAAAATCATGGTGAACTACTAGCACCTTTAAAAATAAGACCCATTTCCCACTAGTCCCACATTGCTTAATATGATCGTACTACCTAAGACAAAATCCATACCCCAAGCTCCTAGCTTTCTCACCGTATCTTGTTTAAGTCTCTCCAGCAATTCCTTTTCAATGGCATTATCCAGCTGAGCTGCTATTAATGCCTTTTCCTGCAAGAGAAAAAAAAGCAAACCCATTTACCTCACTAGTATTCATTTTCCAGCCTGAAGAAATAGAAGAAATGATATATCAAGTTTTTATAAAGAAGAAGATGTAGTAATCACTTCTCCCTCTTGCTATTACGGGGGCTTCTGCCTCTCCAACCAGATGTAATTCTTTACCTCTCATCCCTTCTTGATAACCTTTAATGTAAAAAATTCCTAGTGTTTATAAATAGCATTTTAAATTAAATTCTAAAAAAGCCTTTTATAGATATACAAAGCAGGTAGGTCTACATATATTTAAGTGTCTTAGAAAATAAGCAATCCTGCAGCAGACTCACAGAAAAGGGAACAGAAACCCTCATTCATTTACGTTTCCAACAGACCTGTGATACAAAAAAAGAAAATCTCTTCCTTCAGTGGTCTCTTTCAGGAAATGACACATGGTATCAACCTATATCACTCACAACCAAAACATACAAATCTAACCTCAATCTGCCTTTCTAGCCTAAGATTGTGCATTTAGTGAAAATGATAGAGGATTTCAAAATGTTCCACATTGAAGCTGTGTTAGCATGATGAGCAGTGTCAGATAAATCACAATGCAAGACTGGGGCACATGGTCAGTTAAAAGTACTGTGTTCTACATTATTCTCTGAAGTAGATGCTTACACCTCAGATCCAGTGAGGTGTAGGAAGAAAATAGACAAATGGCTGTCTGTATTATGTAATGTTGCAGGAGTTTTAAAAAGTAAATACATTTATCTGTTCTTTCAACAGAAAGGGAATATTTTACCAGTGAGTTTAAAGAAAAAAATAAAATTGTGCATAGACCACCTTAAAAAAAAAAAAAAAGAATTACATCTATGTGATATTTCTGAAAATGTCTCCTACAAAAATTTCAATCACACTCTTTAAAAATCTGGGAACATAATTTCCCAAAATATTAAAAAATCTGCATTTTCCAGAGAGCTTCAAAATTATTCAGTATAAATGGAAAAATTTAATTTCTTCTGAAAGATTTGCATGAACACCTCTTTAACAATTGGTGGTGGAGAATGAAAATAAAGAGCAAACAATCCACAATGCACTTCTCTAAGCATCCCTGCTATACCTATCAATTATGAGAGCCCATAGGACAAATTTCTACTCAGCTAACAACCAGGCCATCACAAACAATTACTTATACCTATGAATGCAAGTATGCATGTAGAACATTTATAAATGATATATAATGGGAGCATATGTTAAAAATTTTATTGATGGGGTAAGTGATCAAAAAAGCTTGAAGACCAATGATAAAATGGATTGGAGATACAGAGCTCCATGGGTTAATGGAAACAAAAGCATTAAGATTATTAAAGTTATTTCTTGACAGAATTTGAGAAATAATCAGGTAAATATCTTTTGCTATAAAGAAAGTAAGCAAAGCAAATACCTAGGATGAATAGTTGGACTTTTAGAAAAAAGCTAATTTCTGGGTCTTGAAAAGCATAAGAAAAATTCAGGCCAACTGTTCTTTGTGACAAAACTGGAGTTTTCGACTAGATTTTCCAAGACAACCGACTATTAACATTGCTAGTCATTACTTTGGTAACAAAGCTGCTCAGCTTTCTTCAAAAAATAATCCCAGTCAGTTCCTTACTAACAATTTCTAAATAATAATGAAAAACACACACCTCAATTTAGTGGCTTAATATGATTTGATATCACTGGAGTCTAATTAAAGAGATTTAAAAAATTCCATCTAATGTGAAAGAGCGTTCTTATATTTCACTGCAAAACTTCTATGTGATATTTCTGAAAATGTCTGGATTAGTATGCTCAAACCCTGCTGAGGGCAATATGTAAAATCAGCGACATACTAAAATTCTGAATTCTGAAACATCTGACCTCCAGAATTTCAGGCAAGGAGTTGTGGCTCTCTAAAGGATTCTGTATGTCTTCCCCATGACATATATCCCCAAGCGCCCACATGTTAACCTGCCCTGAAAGTCATAATCTTAAAATATAGAATATCAGATATTATGCAACTATTGCTGTTACCCAGGCTTAAAAAGTTCACAGACAATAGTGACTGAATTTTTTTCTACTTACATAACCCTACCCGCAATGAAAATACAGACATTATGAATATCAGAACAATAAGTTACCTCTCTTCTTTTTTCTCTCCGTTCCACCTTCTTACTCAAAGGAACAAGTTTCCTCCTATGAGAAATAACACGTTATCAGAAAACCCAAGTACATGTGCTATGTGTTCCTTTAAAAAATGAGAAAGATTGGAATTCATTTTGAAGGATTCAGAGCAATACAGCAAGATTATATACTTAAAATTTTCTAGATAAATCTAATGCTATAAAGAAAATCAAACATTTTTGTATCTACTTTCAAGTGGCTGTTTTTGTTTTCTTGAGGCATTCTGAGACTTCTAAGGACATCCACTATGCCAACAATGCTCCAGTGAACTAAAAGGACTTTGTTATAGAAGGCTAACAGTTTAAAAAAAAAAAAAAAAGACTGACAGCTTTAGTATTCTCCACAGGTCACAAGTCCATTAAGTCTGGATTTCATGTCATTTTTAAAAATTAGTTTGCAGTAAGTTCTTACATTCCTGTTTATTCACATTGTTAGGTCATTTTAAACACCCCCCCCCACACCCCCATTTTAAGGTTCCTGCAGGGAGTTATAAACAGAATGTTCTGAAGCTGGTTTTTAGACAGGGAGGGGATAATCAAATTATACTATACTTTTTTTAAAATTCCTGCAAAATCGAAGGACATGCCTTTAACCTGAGGTGAAGCTTATTCTTAGCATACCACAAAAGGCTACCCCCAGTTGAATTTTATAAAGTATTACTAAAGGTTCCACAACACTGTTTCATAATACAGGCAGTCCTTAGGTTACATCAGACTCGATGTATGTCATTTCATGGTTATGTCACCACCTCCCATTTATTTATAAAAAAAAAAAAAAAGTTCCATCATTTTGATGTATGTATATATGTGTTTTATGTTTTTTATTATTTACTTACCATAGAAAAGGTCAGGAACTGTTATCTTGCTTTAAATTTTTTTTTACTGTTTCATTTCATTACTGCCGTGTATGTGCTCCATGTGAGTGACATAGGTGCTTATGTAGGTGGGTTCCGACTTATGGTGAAAATTGCATTATGGCCCTAGTTGGTTTGGCTCAGTGGATTGAACCTCGGCCTGCAGACTGAGGGGTCCCAGGTTCGATTCTGGTCAAGGGCACATGCCTGGGTTTCGGGATTGATCCCCAGGAGGGGATACGCAGGAGGCAGCTGATCAATGATTCTCTCTCATCATTGATGTTCTCTTCCTCTCCCTTCTCTAAAATCAATAAAAATAATATTAAAAAAGAAAAGCATGTTATATTGCGCCATAGGAACAGATCTCCAACGTAACCTGAGGACCTACTGTACAATCCATTAAAAAATAGATATAAAAATAAATTACCCAAATACTTACTGTCGCTTTAGTGTAAGTTTTCGAATTCGAATTAGGTACTGGGTGATCTTGGTGAATCTCTGCTTACACTTGTGTCGAATGAAACGGGGCCAGTAAATTAGATTTTCATCTATTTGCTCCAGTGCTTTCTCATAGTTTTTATGAAGCCGGACCTATCAAACAGATAAAGGAAGCTTGAGCCCAGCTGGTGTGGCTCAATGTTGAGCATCAACCTATGAACCAGATCATGGTTTGACTCCTAGTTGTGGCTGGATCCCCAGTAGGGGGTGTGCAGGAGGCAGCCGATCAAAGATTCTCTCTCATCATTGATGTTTCTATCTTTCTTCCTCTTCCTGAAATCAATAAAAATATATTTAAAAAAGAAAAGAAAAAGGAAACTTGAAGGGCAAAGATAAATGATTAGGTCTTCACTATTAACGGCACTATGGGACCTAATAAGGATGGCTTCAGAGTTTAATCTAGATATGATCACGGAAGAGGGAAAATGTGGCATTTTTGCTCTTGAGCAATGGTCATCGTAAAATTACGTTCCAAGTCTTACCCGTTCCCAGAGCCGCCTAGGAAAAGCTGCTCGTTCTATCACCTTCATATACAGGAAGCACTGTCCTGCGGGATAAAGTAAATGCCTTTAATATCATTTAGAGACTAAAGAACATCTTTTGAAAAGAAGTTCTCGTGAAAGGTGAAACTGGGCTTTACCTTTCTCTTCTTTGATAGTGGCATACTGACTGTTTGCCAGGGGACAGGATGACCGGTTACACAGGCCAGTCAGGCTGTATTCATTTCTGCAAAAGCCCTGTGTCTTGGTTCTAGAATGCGAGGAACAGTAAGCATTACAAGATGAGTTACGAAGAGGGCAACTAGAGGAATCTGTTCAAGTTGCAAATCTAGACTCACCTTATCTTGAAGGAACAAAACTGCTTGTTTCCTAGTGTATCCCAGATAACCTGCAAGACAAAGTATAAACCTATTGCAACTGCTCTGATCCAACAGGTGGCATATTGATCAATGAAACAATGCCCTAGGGCAGTACCCTGCTTTATTAAGGAGAGAACTCTTTGAGGAATGACAAAAAAGTGCTTTTTAAAATAGTCTTTTATATGTGTAATATAACAATTTCTTATAGAAAAATAAACACAAATAATAACCATAACCTATTACCCAGATATATTTCATTATTATTTTGTAAATATTTTCAAGTTTTCCCATATGTGTATACATTCCAAGAACTAGTATGCCTATATGTATGTTTTCAACAAAATGAGATCATATTACATATTTTGTAACTTTCCTTTTCTAAATGTTCACTATCCAGTGTAAAAGGCTGCACAGTGCTAGACTTTTGGAAATACAATTTTTCATTGAGGGCAAGAAAAATTCTGCTATCCTTCACAATGTGTAGTTTTTATACTTTTATTTATTTATATTTTTTAACTGATTTTTAGAGAAAATCAACTTGTTGTGCCACTTACTGCCATACTCAATGGTTGATTCTCTTATGTGCTTTGACCGGGGATTGAAATGGCAACCTTAGAATATCAGGGCAATGCTCTAACCCAGTGGTTGCCAACTGGTGGTCTGCGAGGTGTGAAACGCTGGCGACCACTACACCAACCGAGCTACCTGACCTGGGCTAATGTGCTCTTTATTCATTCAGCATTTTTTGTACTTAATTTATGTAAGGCACTGACATCCCCAAATCCTGACAAACAGGAGGCACACAAGTACTTGTTGAATGAAGGCAGGTCTGGTCCTTAAAGAGTGTTATCTATCTGGTTAGGGAGAAAGACACATACACAAAGCAGCAAAGTACCAAAGAGGTGTATGTTGTATGAGAGCCTCTGAGCAAGCTGCCTTGATGAACTGGGAAAGCCTTTTTATAAAGTAGTTAACGGGAAAGACACACATATAAAAGGAGAGCAAAAAATTTTGGAATTTCGTAGGATGTGTTTGACAGGGAATGGAAATGAAACTGGAGACGTAGGAGCTCAATCAGGCTGGTGGCTTTTAAATATCTCTAAATTATGACTCCTAAATTTTTATTGCCTGGCCAAACTTCTCTCCTGAACACCAAACTTGTATATACATCCAGCTGCTACTTGACATCTCGGCTTGGTTGTCTAAAAGGCATCATCATACACATTAACATGTCCAAATGGAGCTCCCAGACTCCCCATCTCTCAAAATACTGTGCTCCTCCCCTGGTCTTGCCCTCTCCAGAAATAAAACCACCACTCAACTATTTGTTCAAATCAAAATATCCTCGGCCTCTCTTTTTTTCATTTTACCCATCGCCAACTCTTTTCTATTAACATCTCACATTTATCTATTTCTTTTCATATCCACCATGACTACCTTAATTGAAGCTTCCTTCACGATATTCTAGTCTCCTTCCTTTCATTCTTTCTCTCCAAAAACTTTTCACACTAGAGATCTTTACACAACTGTAAACCGGATGTCATTTCCCATGAAATCCCTAAAAACACTTCTCATAAGACTTTACACGCTCATGGTGATCCTTGAATATATTCCTTCTCTCTTATCTCCAGATCTTTGTACTTGATGTTCCTACTGCCTGGGTTGATTGCTTTGAGCTCAGCCCCTCAGTGGCGGGTCATCCTCATCTTTTAGTCTCAGCTCAAACGGTCTTCTATGCAGAGAAACCTTCCCTGATCAGGCCTATCTGAAGTGGTCTCTCCCAATGGCTCTCTACTTCACCACCTCCGGTCTTTCCAAAGTACTGTGTGCACCGCAATTGCCCTTATTTGTTCACCTGTCCCCCGACAGAGGACTCCAGGGAAGCAGGTCTTTTGCCCGACTTATGAACAACCACATCTCTAGGAATTACCACAATGCCTGGCACACCATAAGCACGCAGGTATTTCTCCTGCCAATTACTCAATGAATGAATGGAGGATGATTGGCTGCCTCCTGCACGGCCCCTACTGGGGATCAAGTTATAACTTGATCAGACAAAATTATAAGTTGGGCAGACAGTGGAAGAAATGTAAAGAAAAACCCACGCCCAGCAAAAGCAGACTGAAAAGTAAGGTGCACATGCATGAAAAGGATCCTTCAAGTTGATGCCGAAAACTCGCCATATCGCGCTTTCCCCCAACCCCTACCCGCCCCTCAAGTGCCCAAGATCCAGACGCACTGCCCATCGTCGCTGGGCACAGGGGCTGGACCCGCCCACCCTTTGCACTGAGAGCTGGTGTTCTGGCCCCCCGAACCCCGCTGGAGAGGTCCAGGGCAGACACGTGAGAGCCCCACGCCCGGAAACCGGAAGCCCCGCTTCCAGAGCCACGCGAGGCTGAGTACGCGCCTCTGAGTCGCCGAAAGACGGCGAGACACCCCGCGAAAACACCGGCTGGCAGAGCACAGGAGACTCACATCGTCGGACTGCATGGCGCCGGCAATTCAGCGTGCGGAGCTGGCCAGATCCAGGAAGCAACCATACTACTTCCGGCGACTCACTTCCGGTATGCCTAGCCTCACCTACCGCGAGAGTTACAATGTCTCAGACTCGCACGCAGCGCCGCCCGGCGGTGGGATGTGCGCGTGCGCACCTTCCCGGCCTCCTTTCGCTCCGCGCGTGCGCGGGGCTTGTCGGGCGCGTGGCGCGGAGCCGCCGGCGGAGAAGGCGCTGAGTCCAGGAGCGCGGAGTTGGAAGCAGCCGGCGCGCCCTTGTCCTCAGCCTCCCGGGTGCCGGGCCCGCTGCCGGGTCAGGGCTAATGTGCTTTCACTCCTTCGCCCAAGGAGCGGCTCTCTATCTCGGTCCTTTGTAACCGGAGACCCTCGCGCCCGCACTTCCCCTCCCCTCTTACCCGGCACACCCGTGTTTGGTTGCGGCATGGGGTCCAGGTGTTAGAAATGCAAACATATTTTTGAAGGACTAACAACTTTTTTCAAAAGAAAGGTCATTTTTGCCAGGACCGGTTTGGCTCAGTGGATAGAGCGTTGGCTTGGGGACTGAAGGGTCCCGGGTTCGATTCCGGTCAAGGGCATGTACCTTGGTTGCGGGCATATCCCCAGTAGGGGGTGTGCAAGAGGCAGCTGATCGATGACTCTCTCTCATCGATGTTTCTAAGTCTCTATCTCTCTCCCTTCCTCTCTGTACAAAATCAATAAAATATATATTTTTTAAAAAAGGTCATTTTAATACCAAAGGAGTAAGAAAGGCACAATCTCAGAATAAGAATGGGCCCCTGCTTTGCATATCACACAAAATAATTCAATGTGTTATTATAGCCGGGACCGGTTTGGCTCAGTGGATAGAACGTCGGCCTGCGGACTGAAAGGTCCCGGGGTTCGATTCCGGTCAAGGGCATGGACCTTGGTTGCGGGCACATCCCCAGTGGGAGGTGTGCAAGAGGCAGCTGGTCGATGTTTCTCTTTCATCGACGTTTCTAACTCTCTGTCCCTCTCAATTCCTCTCTGTGTAAGATCAATAAAATATATATATATTTTTTAAAAAATCAATGTGTTATTATAGGTAACGGTGCTGCTGGCAGGTGAAACCTATGAATTAGGACCACCCTGTTAGAAAGCATCATTTCAACACCGATTTTTGGACCCAACCGAGGTTTTAAAAATCAACTGGCATTAACTAATATATCTTTGGGCAAGTCACTTAACCTTTATGAAACCTTTTCATGTTGATAAATGGGGTTATGTGTTAAACCTATAGTTTACATTGATTCATAAAAAAAGTTGTGCCCCGCCCTGGTGGCTCAGTGGTTGAACTTGGACCACAGCTGGATTCCCGGTTGGGGCACATGCCTGGATTGCCGAACCCAAGTAGGGGGCGTTTAGGAGGCAGCCAATCAATGGTTCTCTCTCATTGATGTTTCTCTCTCTTCCCCTCCCTTCCCTTCTGAAACCAATAAAAATAATGTTTTTAAAAAAGAAGTTAAGCATCTTTTCACATACGTATTGGCTCTTCACTTTCCTTCTTTGTGAAGCGCTGTATGTCTTTGCCCCCCCCCCTTTTTTTTTTAAATATTCTCTTTTTTTATTTTTAAATATATATATTTTATTGATTTTTACAGAGAGGAAGGGAGAAGGATAGAGAGAAACATTGATCAGCTGCCTCCTGCATACCCCCCACTGGGGATGTGCCTGCAACCACGGTACATGCCCTTGACTAAAATCAAACCTGGGACCCTTCAGTCCACAGGCCAAGGCTCTATCCACTGATAAAACTGATTAGGGCCTTTTCCCCCTTATTTTTAAAATTATATATATATATATATATATATATATATATATATATATATATATATATATATATATTTGTTGATTTCAGAGAGGAAGGGAGAGATAGAAACATCAATGAGAGAGAATCCATGATTGGTTGGCTCCTGCACGCCCCCTACTGGAGGCTGGGATAGAAACCAAGCATGTGCCCTTGGCCAGAATGGAACGAGGTAGTCCCCAGGCCCAGCTCTATCCACTAAAGCCCATTGTTTCCCAAAGTGTGGTATGTGTACCCCAAGGGGTACAGGGAAGAGTTTGGTGGGGGTACGTGTTGCACCGGAGTTTGGTGGGGATATGCACTGCACTGTGCTTAGCTGCGCCTAATTCTACGTTCTCTTGAGTACGAGGGGTACTCAGCGTTACGAAAATTATAGAAGGGGTACACATATGTCAAAAGTTTAGGAAACACTGCAAGCCAAATGGACTAAGGCTCCTCCCTTCTTATTGGATTCTTCTTTTATTGCACTGTAGGTCTCCTTGATGTACTCTGGATACAAATTCCTTGTTAGACAAGTGTATTGCACATATCTAGTTTATCAATGTTGTCCTTTGTGTTTGGGGCTTTCTGGAAGTTGCTACCATGACAACCAACCCATTTTCCCAGAAAGGACAACTGAGGGACTTGGCACCAGAGCTCTGAGGGGTCAGGGCCACCGGGAGGCAGGCCCAGGCAGCAGCTGCGCTCAGGGTCCTGCCGAGCGTCCAGCAGGGTCGGTGCCTTTTTGGGCTTTGAGCCCTGGGGAGCCTCCCTCGCCCCAGTGGAGGTCCAGCCCTTCCCCGGTCTTGAGTTGCTTCCCTACCTTCATCACCCCCTGCTCTAGACCAGGGTCACGGAACTGTCACTGGGGTGTCTGGATTTGGAACTCAGTAGCCTGAAGCCAGTTTTACGTCCCCAATAAATAAAATAAAAAAAAAATACCCAAATGATCATGCACTCTGGCTACCACACACTGGTCCCGACTAACGGTACTCAGGCCTCTGCTTTGCTTAGAAAATTCTCAGTTTTCCCCCCCCATTTTTAAAATTAAGATATTATATGTGTACATATCTTACCATTGCCCCCCCACTCCCATACATGCCCCCCCCGCCCGAGTTTTGCATCCATTGGTTTTGCTTACATGCATGCATACAAGTCCTTGGTTGATCTCTTATCTCCCCCATATCTCCCTCCCCTCCCCGCTGTAATTTGACAGTCTGTTTGTTGCTTTACTGTCACTGTATATATCTTTTTGCTCATCAGTTTATAATGTACTCTATTATCCATAAATGAGTGAGATCGTGTGGTGTATTTTATTTTATTATTATTATTATTATTTTTTTTTTAGAGAAATGGAGTTACATTTATTATGCGCAGGCCCAGAAGAAAATGTTTCTCAAATTCTGAGCCCCAACATGGAAGAACTTTCCCTATTTATATGTTTTTACCTTCTTTGTCTCCCAAATACGGGCAGGGTGTTTCTGGTCCCCTTTGCAAGTTCTTAAAGGGCCCCTGTGTGCAGGGCCTTGAGACCTCAATCAAAAGCCTGGCCTGGTGCCAGAAATGGGAGTAGTCTTATTTTCCTTATTACTGTGTTTCCCCGAAAATAAGACATCCTCCGAAAATAAGACCTAGCACATGGAAAGATAAGACATCCCCTGAAAATAAGACCTCGCGCAACTTTGGGAGAAAAAATTAATATAAGACACTGTCTTATTTTGGGGGCAACAGGGTATTTAAGCAAGCAAACATTTACAGAAGCCAAATAGCAGGGTTAAAATTTCAAACAGCCGTTTTTTTTATATAAGATGGATGCTTCAATATTTTTAAGTTATTCAGTATCCTCATATTTGGATGCTCAGAAATATGTGAGCAAGCAGCACTGAATATACCTGCAACTGTGTCTTGTGCCCAGTTATAGGTGCACCATTAGGTGAGTGAAATCAGAATGGTTAGTCTGAACTTATGGTAGTTGCATATGAAAAGCTGCACATTGCATCAAGACATATACCATGACATTTGTGATATTTCTCTCTGATTTAAATTTCTTTATTGATTAACTCTGTACGTGACTTTGAATATGTTCCAGGCTTCCTTGAGTTTGAGGAGCAAAGAGTGCCCCGGACTTGCTTTATTTTATTTTATTTTATTTTATTTTATTTTATTTTATTTTATTTTATTTTATTTTATTTTATTTTTAGCATTTTACTTTTTCATTTTTTTATTAAGGCATTATATATGTACATATCTTACCAATTCGGACTTGCTTTAGGAGAGGATCTCCAGGGCCTCCGGGAACTCCCAGGAAGGGCCGTGCAGAAGGGCCGGCCTGGAGCAGAGGTCCCCCTGGCCCTTAAAGAGGAGGCGTCAGCGAAAACCCGGACCCAGGACCGCCGGGCCCGGCGCCGAGAGGCCTCCCGCCCGCCTCTCCCAGATCTCCTCTCTGAGTCTTGGCACAGCTCAGGGGTGCCAGCGGGAAGGGGGAACCGGGCTGCAGGCCGCAGCGAGCCTCCTGCACCCAGAGGAGAGGAGGTGAGTGTGCACCGCCCAGGCTGCTGCGATCGCCGGCGGGCAGGGTGCTGGTGGAGCCACAGGGACTCCTCTGGTGCCCAGAGGCCGGACGCCGCCCGCGGGGCTCCCGGCGAAGGGAAACCTCTGTCTAAGGGGAAGACGGAGCTGTGTGCCGGGTCTGGAAACCCTTCCTGAGATGGGAACTTCTGTGTCTGCTGAGGGAGTCCGGGTGGGAGGCAGGTGACACACAGGAGCCCCTGCTGGAGCCGGGGCGGGGGGGGGGGGGGGGGCGGGAGAGGAGAGGAGATGCAATGGTTCCAACGCCTGGGAATGAAGTTTTCTGGATCTCCCCAGTCCCACCAACTCCGGAACCTAACTCTGCCAGTGTGCACGGAGAATGGCTCCCCTGCTCCCAAGGTCTTCACGGACAACCACTTGTTGCTGGGAGTGTGTGCTAGGCCAGCCAATCCATTGCCGGGCGGTGCAGAGCGCAGTGCACTGGATGGAGAAAGTGCCCAGGGAGGGCCGGGCACAGCGGGCTCTGGGTGCCTCCACCTGAGCCGTTTCCGGGGTGTTTTTGTATGCGGTTAGTGTCCTCAGAACAGACCTCGTTTTGTGTGAGATAGAAAAATCACATTGGTGCGATTTTAAGACTTTCTGG